CCTCCGATGGCTCAAATTCGATGATAGAGTCAACCACCTTGAGTATTCTTGGTGAATAAAAAAATTATAAACCATGGTGATAAATACCATTGAGAGCATGAAAAAGGTCTTCTTTTCCCCCACTCATTGAACTTACATTGGACATTGGGCAAAGCTGAACCAGATCCCTAGGGAATGTCATGCGTTGATTGACTTGGGTTGGGTAACTTGTGCATACCTGAGCCAGTCATGTGTGGAATGCAATTATAGTGGTTTATACTAATGTGAGTTAGTCATTAGAGCTGGGTGCAGTTTTTCTCTCCAAATGGATGACTGCTAAACAATGGAGGAAGGGTAGGATAATTACTGAAGAGGCATCTATAATGTCCACTAAAAATTGCCGCGTCCTCTTTCTACCCTACTGTGTGACAAGGTCTGGAGATGGGGACAGAGGCTTCAAGGAATGCATCGTCAAGAATGAGGACGTGGCATGTGTTTAGGGATAATTGGTTTCTTAGAAACGATCCTATTAATAGGGGGAATTTGGGTAGCACAAATTCCAGTAAGTGTAAACGCTGTACAAATGGATTTCCTCAAAACTGGCTCTGAGGAAAAAACAGTAAATTCCCCGCGTACGGAATCAGCTCTAGTCACCCTGACGTATCCAGAATGCGTAAACCCTTTATTTGAACAATTATTAAGGGAAATTCCTTTTGATGCGCCTCTTAAAGATATTATGAATAAATGATAACAAGCTGAATTACTGGAACCAGTTTATACTCCCGTTCCCACGCAGTTAGTAGAAAAATTAGTAAAGGATAAGAAATTTACTCATAAGCCTGTGCCTACTATGGAAGGGCTTCCTTTTGTGGCCTAGTGGATAAATAGAAAACTCTGGTATCCACCTAGCGGGGCTAATAGTATGAAAAGATTACCTGATCTTCCTTTGCCTTATACAGGAGCTTATAATAAAGATAGTATACATATAGTGAATAAAGATAGAATTCATGTGCCTTATTGTAGTTTAAGTTTCATAGAAAGGCTGGGTAGGTCAGGATCTCCTTGGTGCTTAAAAAACAAAGGAACAGAAACTTAGCTTATGAAAGCAGCTTTGTAAAACTGATTTTTATAAATATTTTCCTCATTACTACACCAAGGAAACTTTTGAACAGCTATGAGAAAGGTTCAGCTTGAACTTTAGATATAGCATAATCAAATAGCATTTAAAAGATTTCTTCAGGCAGAAAGAAGAACAATGTCTGCCCACAAGCCAATGCTTGCTGTTATGAATACATCTATCTATCACCTTTACTTAAATCAAACTGTATCTTACGTAATAGATATAAGAATTAAAAGTTTAGATTGTTCCATCAGGTAGTTCTGTTCTAATGATTGAGAGAAAAATGACCTAGTTAATCATGAACATTAATAATAATATACTCTATAAGATTTTCTGCTTCGCCTAACCACAGAAATTTAACTCCCTGCTACCTTAACAACAAAGTATAATCAAATGCCAAAATAAAAAGTATAAAAGTTGTACTCAAATCACAATAAAACGGAACAGTGTCACACAGCCTCTGAGTTGTGTAGTCGACTGTCTCCCTCGCTGACGCCTTGCCCACCTTCGGGGCCCCCTGGATCCTGTCGTGGCTGGACCGCGGCAAAAAATGCTAAATCCTTGACACTTAAGAAAAGGAAAATTATGAAGGGAGCTCTGTTGAAGGTAAAAGAAGGAAGGAAAGATTCCACCTCTGAAAAGATGTGGGATTAGAGTTGGGACTTTAAAGACAGCAGCAGAGATCCACTACTAAAGGATTATTAGGCAAAGGGTACAACATGAACAACAATAATAAAGAAAGAATATAAAAGAGATGAATAGAAAGTAGAATAATATAATTGGAGAGGAGAAGGAGAGGAAGTATGTGAGCAGGCCAGATTTGGGAGGCTTTGAATGGCAGCTGGAGCAGTCTGAATGCATTCTATATCTACTGAGGAGTCGTGGAAGATTTTAAAGAAGGTTATGGCATTATGAGGACTGCGCTTGCCAAGACTAAAGATTCTTCTGTATCAGGATTCGCTCAGATTGGGCTGAATGTCTCCAGGTCACCTTGTGTTAGGCTAAGCCTTGCTCAGCCTTCAGGAACTAGGGGCACAGTTTCCTTTACCTACACTTCCCTGTCAGATTTTGATTTAGCTCAGAGCACCTGTTTCCACCATTCTAAAAATATGAGTGCAGTCTTTGCAAGACAGTTGGACACTGTCCTTTGGGTTGGCCGAGGGACCTGTCAGGGCCCAGGGGAGTTTGGTCCCTCATCTCACACTTATCCTCAGCACAGCCACCTGTAGAAGGCGGGGTTCCTAGCTCAGCCCACTGATCACCAAGAATTCGGTACATAAAGGCAACAGCCAGCAAGGAGCAGATTTAACAGAGGCAAATCAAATTAATCTATTTTACCTATTTAGGTCCAGATTCCCAAGTCTAGGAGGGATGTGATGGGAAAGAGAAAAGGAGGGTGCTTACTCATGTCAGGTTTAAAGAAATAACAGTTTATAATAAAATTTCGACTCCAAGTATATTCAATGGTAGCAAGAGGACATTAAATATTTTAACCAGCCAAATGCAACTTGTTCACTAGGACAAAATCCTGTGAAATGCTTTGTGGAGGCTACACTCTTCATCGTGGTTCTCAGGGAATGTCTGCCATCTGAAGAGCTCCAGTTTGAACTCTCTACTTGTATTAGAAGGAAAAAAGGGCAACACCTTATTTCCTGGAGTAAACAAGATAAGAATAACTGAACTAGAATAACTGAAACAAGACAAGAATAACTGAAATAGAGGAAGTATGTGACCTATATTTGATTTCAAGCTTGTGTTGCTAACAAATATTTTTTATACTTGTAATAGAGAAAGGAATGTGACCAACCAATGGATACACTCCGGGAATGTTTTGGAACCAATATTCCTTGAGAGCTTCCTTTGTTCTAGCATTTAGCTCAATAGTCAATCTTTGTCTTGCTCGATATGGTAGCCACCAGCCACATATGGCTAATGAGCACTTGAAATGTAGCCAGTCCAAACTGAGATCTGCTTACATTTCAAAGACTTAGAATGAAAAAAATGTAAAATAGCTCATTAATATTTTTTGTTGATTACATGTTAAAATCATAATATTTTTGATACACTGGGTTAAATGAGATGTTATTAAAATTAAATTTTATCTGTTTCTTTTTGCTTTTTAAAATATGACTACTGGAAATTTTAAATTGTATATATGGCTCATATTTGTGGCTTGCGTTATGTTTCTATTGGAGAGCACAGCTTTAGATTGTGCATCCCCATAACCACATGATAATATAGACCATTTTTAGGTCTATTTTACAGAATAAGAAACTGCTGAGGGATAGAGACTGTATTATTCGTCCAGCATTATTCAGTGGTAGGGCTGTGGTTGAAAACCCAGATTGGTCTTAGCTGCTATACTACATTGCCTGTGCAGCTTGGTTTATGAGTCGTTTTACTGGGCAACTCAAATGTAGAACTCTGGGTTAGAATGTGGTTCCCCCAATAATTGTTTGCATGAGCTTGAGTGCTTATCTTAATTTCCTCATGTCATTAGATATGAGCTTAATAAATCAAATAAGTCAATAGTGCATTATTGTTTTATTTGAATCCCTTCTTTGGCTTCACAATCTATGGAAACAAAGATTCAGTTCAATTTGACAAATGTTTCTCTAGCATCACTACGTATAATGGTGAAAAAGCCCAAATAAATACCATCACATATGTTAATTCCTAAGAGGAAGTTAATTATATTTGGAGTAATACCAGGATTAATGAACAAAATACACTTAAACTTCTCCATTTGCAACATGAGAAGAGCGACATTCACTTCAAGCTCGATGGATATCAGATACGATATGGTTTCTAATTGATATTTCTTATATTAGGGGTTCTACACATGATTATTTTTCATATATTCTTACAACCTCGTACACAAAGAATCTTGTGGAACTTGAATAATTTTGGACCAAGAAAATCATATCAATTCTAAAAATAAAAGCAAGGGCAAGTAAAACCTGGTGACATGGTTAAGCATTTCTTTTCTATTATTGTCAAATTTTAATTACGCTGATGAGAATTCAAGTCCTCCATAAGATACTCCAAATACTTCTTGCTTCTTATTTTTTAGTGCAAAGTAGCTCACTCCTTGAGGCCACAGTTGACTCTTGAAAGAATGAAGCAGGATTTTATGGTATCACTTACATTTTGTTGTGAAATTCAAATCTCTGCTTATGTGTGAATGCAACTGATAAGAAAATCATGAGACCTAGAATCCTCTTCAAGTAGGCTCACATAAAATTGTCATAGAATTTTGACAATGCCCCTGCTTTATCCAATACCTGTCACTAGCTCTGGCTCCTTGCTTCGCCCTCTGTCCCATGGTTTTGTTCTTAGTACTACTGTAAACGAACTTGGCCTTGGAGCAGGTATTGTTTCAGCATTCCACAATCCACAGTGTGTTCTTTGAAATTACTTCTCAGTGCCCTGTAGTAACTATTTTTCTGACAACTTTTTTTTTCCAACTTCAGATACAACACATTGGTTAATCTTATTCTTTAATTAATGGCCCTCCATTATCAACTGGGTATGCAAGGCCCTTGCTTTCATTCATTCATTCATTCATTCATTCATTCATGCAATCCTTTCACCCTCCTTCTGTACTCCTATTCCTCTGTTCCTCTTCATAGGCAATCATTCTTAAGTGTTTGAAGTATATCCTCCTCTCTTTATGAGTTCTTGTAACATTGTTTGTATGCATGTATTTTTAACTCATGTAAATCATATTGTAGCAAAAATTTCATTCGGTGTCTTTCTCCACTCAGCACTGTATTTAAAAATGTCTAACCATGTTGCTGAATATATATTTAGACTGTTGCTTCTAACTGATACCTAGTTATCCATCCATTTTCACTCATGCACATCAGAGAAATGGACATGAACATTGTCTTCAACTCACCAGTACTACTAACAATGCTTCCATGAGTATCCTCATACGTCTTCCCTCATGGGTGAGAATTCTTCTGGATTCCTATACCTGGAAGTGGAAATGCTGGGTCATAAGTAACATATGTACCAGTAAGGTTCTACTAGAAAAACAAAAGCCACTCCAAGTATGTAAAACTAAGAGATTTTAATGATGGGAATAGATTACAAAGGTGATGGGAGAGCTGAAAGTCAAACAAGGGATGTGAGATAAACAATTGCAGGAAAGCCCCTACTACATCAAAACTGCAGGAATTACTCGTAACAGGATCCTGAGTCTGATGGAAGCCGGAATTGTAGGGGGGCTGCCTGGTGGGAGCTGAAAGAGGAGGCAGAAATACAGATAACCCCTTGAGAAGAGAGGGAGAGAGAAATATCCTGACTTTTCCCTCCCCTCACTCCCAGTTTCCTATCAGAGCCTTCTGCCAGCTGAACCTACCCCCAAATGCAGCCTGCAGGTGCCAGGGCTTTCCTTTGGGTTTATTTGGATATTTTTCTAATTTGTTAAGTTGGATTCTTATTAATTTTCAAACTTCCTCTTTTTTTTGCATTTTTTTTACAACTTTTAAAAATTGTGGCAAAATACACGTAACATAAAGTTTGCCATTTTAACCATTTTTAAGTGTAAGAGTCAGTGGCATTACTACATTTATAATGTGCAACCATCATCACTATCTATTTCCAAAATATTTCATCATCCTAAAGGTAAACTCTGTATACATTAAGCAATATCTCCCTATTCCTTCTCCCAGTCTCTAATAGCTTCTAAGTTCTTTTCTATCTCAATAAATTTGCCTATTCTAGATATTTCATATAAGTGGAGCCGTATAATATTTGTCTTTTTGCATTTGGCTTCTTTCACTTAATGTTTTCAAAGTTCATTCATGATGTAGCATGTATCAGTATTTTATTTCTTTTATGGCTGAATAATATTACATTATATATGAATAATGAATATATATTGACTGTTATAAATAATTCATTATTACATATGATAGTGAATATATAATGAATAATATTCCATTATATATATGTATGTTCATTTGTTTATTCATTTATCTGTTTGTTGATGGACACGGGTTGTTTCCACCTTTTGGTTATTGTGAATAAGGCTGATGTGAACATTGATAAAAAAAAATCTGAGTCTCTGTTTTCAATTCTTTTGGTATATACCTAGAAGTAGAGTTGCTGAGTCATGTGTTAAGTCTATGTTTAGCTTTTTGGGGCCTGCCAAACTGTTTCCCACTGCACGATTTTATAGTCCCACCAGCAATGCACAAGCGTTCCAATTTCTCCATATCATCACCAACTCTTATTTTCTGTATTTGTTTATTTATTATTATTATAGCCATCCTAGTTGGTGTGAAATAGCATCTCATTGAGGTTTTGATTTGCATTTTCCTGTTAATAATATTGAGTATCTTTTAATGTGCTTACTGGCCATTTATATATCTTCTTTGGAGAAATGTCTATTCAAGTCATCTTGCCTATTTTTTTAAACTGGTTGTTTCAGTATATCTGATATACTGACTGGTCGAGTCAGTATATGACTGAGTAGTATCATCATCTTAATATTAAGTCTCCTAATTCATGAACATGGAATGTCTAGACATCCCTTTATTTAGGTCTTAATTTTTCTTCTTTTTTCAGTTTAAGATCATTTCATTCTAAGTATCATTTTAGCTGCATCCCACAATTTTCGATATCTTTACAGTTACTTTTGATACTCCATTTTGATATCTACCTGACCCATGATTTGTGTTTTGTTTTATTTTCAAATAAATGCCTTAAAATATGAGTTTATTATTGACATTTAATTTAATTGCATTATGATCAGTGTATATGAGTTAAATGATACCACTTCAGAGATGTGTTGAAACTTGCTTTATGAACTTACAAATATAATTTTCCATATGTTCTTGAAAAGAATGCATTTTCTGTGATTGTTGGATGTAAAGTTCTAATATCCATTAGACCAAGCTTTAAATCCTTTGTCCTCACTGACTTTTTGGGTCTGTTTGATTTATTACTGAGAGTTGTATTAAAATCTTCCTATTAGAATAGTATATTAATCAATTTCTCTATATAGGTCTATCGATTTTTTTATATTTTAACCTATGTTATTAGGTGCATATAAGTTTAGAATTGTATGTCTCTAGTGTGTCTTTGTATGTTAATTGAGCCTCTTATCATTATGCATATTAATGTATTTAATAATTTTTATATATCTTGAATGATTTTTTTTTGCCTTAAATTCTATTCTGTCTGGTATTAATATAGTACATTAGGTTTCTTTTGGTCTGCCTGGTACATCTTTCTTTATACTTCTTTAATCTATATTTTTATCCTTTTCTCAATTAAATAAAAAAAATTCAATTATTTTAGAAAAATTGTTTTGTGTTAATCTCCGCTAACTAGATGTTATTATTCGTTTATATACTCCACTTAAAAAAAAAAACCCTATATATTTACAATTTTCTTTTTTCAACATTCTATCTTCTTAATATTCATTTTTTCCCCTCTACCTGAAGTGCAATCTTTAGAATCTTCTCTAGTTATGGTCTGCTGAAGATAAATTCTGCCATATTTTTGTCTAAAAATGTTTTTAAGCCTTATTATTGAAAGATAGTTTTGCTAAGTATACATTTTAAATCGATGGTTGTTTTCACTCAAACTTTGATTATTTTACTGTCTGGCTTCTATTACTGCTTTAGAAGTTAGCTTTCAGTTTGTTTTTGTAAGTAATGTATCTTTTCTGTTTGGCTAATTTTTAATGTCAGCTATTTGTCTTTCGTATTCATGGTGAAATGCTAAGTAAGATTTTACTCTATCTTATTCTGGGTCAACTGTTCTTCCTGAAATTGAGGATTTATATCTTTAATCACATCTGGAAAATTCTCAGCCATTATCTTTATAATATTTCCTCTTTCCCATTCTCTCTACCATCTTCTTATGGAAATCTGATTAGAAGTATATTAGACTCCATATCTTCATATCTCTTCTCTTCCATATTTTCTACTTCTTTTACTGTACTTTGGGCATTTTTTCAGAGCTATCTGTGGTTTACTAATTCTCTCTTACGCTGTTCTAATTTGTTGTTAAACTAGTCCACGGTTTTTAATTGCAACGATTATATTTTTTATTTCTATAGGTACCATTTGATTCTTTTTCAAATCTTTAAAAAAGTTTCTTGTACTTTGCTCATATTTCCAATTTGCTCTATTATTTCCTAAGTATCAGAATGTTCAGAGGCAGAATGTAAATAAATATGATTAGTTATGTATATAACTATGTATGTTTACATAGTTTATTTACATTCTGGCTCTGAACATTCCAATACACAAAGTTTCTGTAATCTGATTTTGTTCTTTGTTGTTTCTACCAACTCTTAGTCATTGTGCCTTATTTCTTCATGGATATTGTTATTTTTGTTGGCGAGCTCAAGTCGTTTTGAATTTATCTGTAGGAATTCTGTGAGAACTGGGCTGAGGGTACAATTACCTAGGCTCAATGTAGTCCTACAGGGACGATTTGTAATATTTTGTTCAGATGCAAAGGGTTTCTACCAATCCAGGACCACTTTACAATTTCTCAGTTTAAACTTCTGTTGTTTTTGTTGTTTAAATGCTTTTTTTCTGGAAAGTACCAGGAACTAAGTATTGCTGAGTATGTAGTAAAATACTACAGTGACACTAATTAGTCCTTGAGTGGGAAAGGTGCAGTAATAGTGTTTGGCAACCTTGTTATGGGTAATCTTACTTGGAAATGAAATGGTCACATTACATGGTAATAAGGCTAGAAAAATACCTGAACATCATCATCCTCACTCCTAAGAAACATATACTCATTAGATTACTGTATGCAACACATTTTACCTTTGCATTACAAGGGAGAGAGAGGGAGAGAATGAATAAGAGATTCCCTGAGTCATGACTATAATTAAGGTATGGAATGAGGTAAAATAAAAAGAACGTTGGTTGTCTCTTACCAGATATGGAGACAATATTACTACATGAAGCAAATATCAACTTGTGAGAATGCAAAGTCATGAAAATGGGTGCTTTCTCCTTAATTCATGCAACAAACACTAGAAACTAAAGTACCAACATGACAAGGACCAAGTCCTGTTTTATTCTCCATCTAGTGCCTAGTATGACAATAACAGACAATAGTTGTTGAATGAGTACCTACTGTGTGCCAGGCATGGTACTAGGAGCAAGATAGACATGACCCTTAACCTCAGTCTTAGGGAGAAACCCTACTTCCTCAAAGTAATTAAGGTTGAATTTGCAATCAAACTAATATCAAAGATATTATTAAAGAGAATAAAAAGAACGAATTGGGTTCCTTACAATGATTACATTTGTACCTTTTTCCATTAACAACTCTGAAGTAGGTGGGTTAAATATACTATGCCCAGTTCACAGCTGAGATAATATAACTCAGCAGTTATCGAGGGATTCTGTATTGTCAGCGCTGTGTTAAGTGCTTTACATTTATTATCTCATTGAACCCCCTAATAACCCTATAGGCAAATACAATTATTTCCCCAATTTCAGATTAGGAGAGCAATGAAGCCTAAAAAAGTTTAAGTAACTGGGTCCAGGGGTGCATAATTGTTAAGTGGCAGAGTGAGGATTCATCTCAGGCGGTGGGACTCTAGGGCTCTCCACTGTGCGCAGAGAAGGCAGCTGAACTCACACAAGTGAACATGCTAGAACTAGTACTATTCCGGGCTCCTTTAAGACTTTCACATATTTCCTAGATTCCCAAAGGTGGAGCTAATTTATTCTCAGAGTCTTAAAATGAGAAGACATCTTTAAATGACTACGAAAATTATCTCGCCCATAACAAACACAATTTAACTACTGCAATAATTTTGAGACAGGAGAATGCTTTGCTATTTCCTCTAGAAGCAGCGCTTAATATTTAAATCAGAAACCCTCAGAAGTAGCAAGAGAACTTAGCAAAACCAAAACATATCTTCATGCAACCCATATTTACATAGGCATCTGCCTACCAGGGCCAACTGGTTGGCTTTATGGAAAATTTCAGTGGGAAGATGAAAACGCCTTTTCAACAGATTAAAACAAAATTAAACCAAGGACCTGGTCATTCCCCCTTTCCCTGCCAGTTCCCGGCCCCCCGGCATCGGAGAAGGCTGGGGTGCGGCTGCGTTGGGCTGCGCAGGAGCTCGTTTCGCCGGAAAAGCAAGGCTGCGCAGGGGGGCCCTGGGTTGGCCGCTCCCGGGGCGAGTCTGGGCAGCGCACAGCTACACCGTCTCCTAGCGATCTGAGAGACCTGAACTCCCACCACCGAAGGCCCGGCCGTCGTCAGGAAGCCAGGGCCACCATGGCGGACCACATGCAGCCGTCCTGGCCCGGGGCGCTAACGCGGGTGCCGGCAGGAGCGAACTGCCCGCCACGGTAAGGGCAGCGCGCTGGGCCAGGGCGCATCCTGCGGATGCCGCGCGGGGGCGCCGGGACCAGTTCTTGCTGGAGCTGGGGTGAGGAATGGGGGATTGCCGGTGGCCACAGAAGGCTTGGCTGGAGGCCCGCCCACTTTTCCTCCTCGAGGTGCCCGGCACCTAAATGATTATATTTAAAATAGCCAGCGCTCGACGCTTCTCGTCTCAAAGGACACCTTTTTTTTTTTTTTTCCTGTTATCCTTACAACCCCCAGGGGGTTTTCCAGATGGAAAACTGATGACCACAGAGTCCTCTGTGGAGACTGATTTAGCCTATGCGACTCACCCTTCTCCAGGTTAGGCAAGTGGATCCCTGAATCCCGCCTGAAGGGTCTGAGGCACCTGGAACTGTTGGCCAGCCAGTGACTGTAGCTAGGCTGAGCTGGTGTTCCGGGAGTGCCTCGGGTACTGGGGCCGGTCTGCTGCTATTTTAATGCTTGGTGTCATGGCCGCAGGGCAAGAAGCGAGGCTTTTTGCTTTTGCTGATTCCTTGAGCTATTTATGAGATTGGAATTTCGCTCGCTTGAGGCTATGTGAAAGTGGCAGTTAAGATTCCAAAACTCTATTGTGAAAAGCGCTACCGTGAACATAGGGGTGCATAGATCTTAACAAATCAGTGTTTTGGTTTTCTTTGGCTAAATACTCAGAAGTGCAATTGCTGGGTCAAAAGATAGTTCTATTTTTAACTTTTTGAGAAACCTCCAAACTGTTTTCCATAGTGGCTCTACCACATTTCCATTACAAAAATAAAAAAAGATTCCAAAAGTCTAGAATCAGAAAGGATAGAGTGGAAGGCCAGTTCTCCTCTTGCCTGCAAGGTGACCTTAGGCAAGTTAGTTGTTCCTTCTAAGCTCAGTTTTCTTAACTGCAAAATGGAGAGACAATAAGAGGAATCAACTTTACAGGATTGTTGTGAGGATAAACCGACAAAGCACATGTAAAGCAATTTATGGCCCATAGTGTGCATTTGTATACATGTTAGCAATTATGAACTTTTTGGGCATCCCCTTTTCACCCGTTTTCAAACTTTTTGTTTTGAAATAATTATAGATTCGCAAGAAGTTGCAAAAATAGTGCAGAGGTCCCATGCACCCTTCCCCCGGCTGCTTCCAGTGGTACCATCTTACATAACTATAGTTCATTACCAAAGCAGGAAATCCACATCCGCACAATGTATTAAATCGACTGCAAACTTTAAATTTCACCAGTTTTTACTTGCATTCGTGTATGTGCATAGTTCTCTACAGTTTTGTCATATGTATGCGTCAAGATACAAAACTGTCTTCTCATTTCAAGGGAACCACTTTGTGCTACCTCTTTATTGTCACTCTTTACCCCACCCCCAACCCTTAGCAACCACTAATTTGCTCCCCATTTCTTTAATTTTCTTCATTTCAGGATGTTAGGTTAATGGAATAATATAGTTTAAATTTTTTTGAGATCGGCTCTTTTTCACTCAGCATAAAGACTTTGAGATCCATCCAAGAAGTTGTGTGTATCAGCAGTTTCGTCATTTTCATTGCTGAATAAGTATTCCATGCTATGGATCTACCGCAGTTTGTCCATTTACCCGCTGAAGGACATTCAGGGTGTTTCTAGTTTTCGGCTATTACACATAAAGCGACTATGAATATTTGTGTACAGATTTTTGTGTGAACATAAGTTTTCATTTTTTTTAGGATAAATGCCCAATACTCTTGCGATTCTTAAAGATGGAAATATCCATGTATCATATACTAGTGACCGTGAAAATAGTAAATATTTAGGAAAGATGTTTTCAGTTTTATTTTCTGTATCAAGCGAAATTTTTCATCAACTTAAAAAAATGCAGAGAGGTAAGTTTATTAGCTATGAGAGGCAAAGTGGGGTAGTTAGAAACCTTCCCTCTAGACTAGTTGCCTGTTCACCTCTGAGAACTCAGTTTCTTCCTCAAAAAAAGAGGAAGGTGGACCAGATTTCTTTCGGGATTTCTGTGAGGTCTAACATTCTATGAGGTCGGAGCTGGCTGCCACACTTTCCCTATTTTCACTTGTATGACGATGCTTAAGCAAGCTTATTGTTTATCAAATTTGATTTTGTGAAGTGCTTGGATATTTGAGTTAGTTGTAAATGTGTGGAAAATAAACTTTGTAAAGATATTTACTACTATGGAGGGTTACTTGCTAGTAGGTCATGCTGAATGGGTCATCAAATCTCAAGGTTAGATGTAATTCTAACACCCCACCACTGAGCTACTGAAGAGTGATTGATTAATTGTAAAGAGCAACTTTTTGTAAATTCATCTTTTTATGTCCTTTCATCAAGATCTTCACAGTAGAGCTGGATTAGCCCCTCATACATACACATTGCATACACAGCAAGCAAGAAATTTCTAGAACTCACAAGAATGGGGATCGAGCTGGAATCTCTTAAAAATGTTTCGTGCCTATAAAAATGAATGCAACAAGGAGTAGTTTTGGTGTAACGAGCTGTTATATGTAGAAGGGGCCTGGGAGAAGCTTCAAGGAAAGACACCAATAAAATAGAGATATTCGACAGCGTGATGTGTTAGGATAATGAGAGACCTGCCAATAAGTTGCTCAAGTTCCAAATCTAGATTAGCAATGACTGGATATATTAGATTATCCAGGAACTGGTCTCATTTTTTATCCTATTTGTCCATCTGTCTCTTCCATATGATCTTCATGCCCTAACTACTCCATACAAACAGCAGCCTGGTGGGTAAGGAAACTGAGTGAAGGAGGCTGGGTATAAGGCAATAGGGAGAGGTAGAGACTGGGAATGAGAGCATAGGACTTGTCTAAAAAGGGCAATGAATATACCAATTTTGGATCCATGGAAAGGTGGGCCCAGCATTCCCAGAGCTCCTGATTTTAGTTCCAGATTATGTATGTGAATTTTTTATATGTCGGAAGCTCTAGTGTAGTGGTTAAGCACCCTTCTCTGGAGTCACACTACCTGTATTAAAATCCCACCTCTCCCACTTATTAGCTGTTGGACCTTTGACAAATATATATATATTTTTAACTTCTTTGTGCCTCAATTTCCTTATCTGTAAATGGGAATAATACTAGTAATACTTCACAGGAGTGTTATGAAATTTAAATAAGTTAATATATGCAAATCACTTAGAACAGTGTCTGTTATGTTGAACGGTCTCAATATGTGTTAGCTATTATGATTCTGATTAAAACAGGAAGGGGACCAAATGAAAGGTTTGTAGGCCCAAGGCAGCCTATGGACTGCCAGTTTGCAACCTTTGACCCCGTGAGTTTAAGGGGGAAACAGAGGCCCACAAAGGTTAAACGAAAATGCCAAGGTCAATCAGTAAGTTAGGGGCAAGTTGTCACTGGGATGCAGGTTCTCCCCACTGCATTGTGTCTTTTTAAAGGATAAGAAAGAGTCCTGGGAGGGGCTGCTCCTTGTGAGTGTCCTTCACAAAGACAATGGCTGGATGAAATGTGGCAGTAGCTGGTAATAATGAAATAGATTTGCACATAGTGACATGAATGGGCCTTTATAATACTGTGTGAGGAAACAAATTAGAAACAGAATAGTAGCATTCATGTAAATTCAGAGTAAATGCACACAGAAAGACAATACAGATATTATAAGGATGCATACAAACAAAAGGGCACATTACAAATCCATTCGAGTGGTTTTGCCTGTGCAGGGAGAACAATGAGCATGGGATATGGGGATAACATAGAGTAAAGAGAACAGGAGAGGGGCCTTGCACAGACCAGCGATAATGTGCTGTGAACTAGGAGTATGATTAACTCAACCTTCTCCACATGAACCCCTCTCCCCCACCTTTTCCTCCCCCAGAGAGCCTCCTTTCAACCTTCTTCCCCCTCAGTCCTTTTCCATACTACCTGGCACATTGTCTTCCAGGTTCAAAGAGGATCTGCCTTCTGAGTGCTCCACAAAGCCCAAGGACAGGCTGACGTTCCCCACCTCCCTGAACAGCCGGCGGTGGATATTTGTGAGAAAGGGACTGGATGACTTCAGGAAAGGCTGCCCGCCTTGCGAAGGTGTGATCACTCAGGGCCCTTGGGAACACTTTCTCCCTCACGTTTATCACAGAGTTCTCCGACCTGCACCCCAAAAGAGGCAGAACAAGCTGCCCAAGGAAGCAGCCCTGTTTTCAAAGCTCTCACCAACCCAGCAGGCACGAAAGGCGTTCCTGGAGGACATTGAAGCCCAACTGACCCCGCACCCCTTTGCTCTTTCCCCGAATCTGGAAGAAGATTTGCCTGCAGAGGTGACATCCCGTCCTAGGGTTGTGGGAGGGCCTTCACTGGGGCCTTGAAAATAATTCTCTTTTGGTGCCTGGGGAGCTTCCTTGGGGGGATGACATGTTTAAGGAGGAGGGGCGAAGAATGTCTCCCCAGGGTGGGAGTTCTCGTGTGGGCTGGAGCAGCCTCCCTTTCTCTGCCCTCAGGAAACACAACCAGCAGCAACGTATACCCATCTCCCTTTGCTTCCTGTGAAACCACACAACTTATAAAGGTCCTGCACACTGGAGACCTTCTACTTCTCTTCCCCTGAACTTCTACCAGTCTCCTTTGCTGTGGGGGACAGAATACAATGGGAGAGAGAGTTGTTCAGTCTTGCTTTTGTCACTTTAACCTGGTCTTAGGAGGTGTCGTAAGTACTTACAAGCTGATGGGTAGAAGGCATATGAGAACCTGAAAGGCCATAGTGAAAATTCACCAAATCATCAGAGTTGGGCAGCAGCTACGTTGTGTCACCAAGGTCCCAGGCATGTTTTGACTTTCAGCTCCATAGTCCTTAGCACATGCCTCTTGTTCTTGTATCTCAAAATGGCTTCCACACCTCCAGGCATCCAGTCTGTCTTTCAAATAAGAAGGGGGAAGGGACAAAGGTTAAAGGGTGCATGCCAGCTGACTCTGCCTTTTAATTAGGCAAATATAGTTGACCCTTGAACAACAGAATTGAACTGCACAGGTCCACTTATATGGATTTTTTTTCAATAACTACACAGTGAGCATGACAGTTGTTCAGACAGGTGAACTCTGCAAAGCCCCTTCCTACTCAGAGTAAAGTCCTTGCCATCGTCGAAAATGCCCTGTGTGTTCTCCTCTCCACCACTCACCTCCTCTGCTCCCCCTCCAACCTGACCACCTACTCCTCTCTCTCACCTCACTGCGGCCACTCTGGCCTCCTACTTGCTTCGTGAACATTGCAAGCATGTCCAATTCAGATCTCTGTTCTGTGTCTGGGACACTTGCCCCAGATGTCTGCCTGGCTCACGTCTTCCCTTCCTTCAGATCTTTGCTCCGATGTCTCCTAACTGAAGAGACCTATGTAAAATAATACTTCCCTTTCACTCTCATTCTCTATCTTTATAATGATGTATTTTTCGTCATAGCACTTGTCACCACAGGGCTCCTCACTAGAATAAAAGCTCTACAAGGGTAGGGACTTTATCTGTGTTTTTCACTGTGTACCATCAATATCTGTCATATGGTAAACACTCAGTACATTTTTATGAATAATGAATAAATGGATAAATAAATGATCAGTGGCAGAGGAGTCAGTAGAAAGGACAACTGGAATTTCTAATCCATTATTTTCTACTGGGCCTTTCCTGCACTGCCTCATGCAGGCCAGAGCTTCTGAGTCCATGACAGATTGTTTCCACATACCCTAGGATGGGACTGTGGCCCTTATTTCCATGTCTGACCCCCAAAACTAGGTATGTTGGCTTTTTTTCTGAAGCCAGATCTCCTTTTGTGATGCTACAATGACCACCGGCAGCTCTAGATTTAAATTCTACCCAGAAAAAGAATACCTCTTTTTGCCTGGTCACAGTGAAATTCCATAACCTAATTCCCATGGGTCCAACTTGGGATATGTGCCCATTCCTAACTAGTCACTGTACTCCTGATTGGCCTGGCCTGCTTCTGGAGTGAGAATGGGGTCAGGCCAATGAGGACTGAGGTGGTTCTCAAAGAAAAATCTAGAAACTGTCATTTGTATGAGGAAAAAGGGATGCTGGGCAGTGAAAGACCACAGAGATCCTCTAGAGGTACCTCGCTCAGTGGGGGCAGTTGGAGACCGGGGTAGATCCAGAGGCACTATTCCATTTAGAAGAGGTGGAACTTCAGTTCAAAGGTTGCCTACCTGATGTCTGGGTGATGGAAGTCTACCCACAGCACCCAGGACAGAACTTGCACGGAAACTGATGAACAGCACTGGCCAACTGGAAAGGAAAAGCAAAGGAGCCAGTTGGTTTATTCTGTTTTAGAATCAAGGGGCCCCATGTTTCAGCACATTTTTCTGTCCTCCAAAACTGTTTTCTTTTTGTAGCTCTTCTTAAAGGTGCTGGAGGTGCTGGATCCTGACAAGAAACTGGAAGAAACATGGGCTTATTGTCAGGGTGTCAGGAAAAGAGCAGAGGAACCCATAAAGCTTTTAAAGAAACATTCTGCCCAAGTCTACTTGGGACTGTAAGTATTGTTCTTAACCCCTCGCTCATTCCTGTCACCTGATGAAACAGTCTAGGAGTTACCTTCTTAAAGTTCCTCATCTTTAGAATAATTTAGAGAAGCAAAAGTAACTAAGTTCCCGAGGAGGAGGGAAAGGATCCTTGGTTTGGTTCATACGTGAATGTGAATTATCCAGCAATGGAGCAAACATGGGTGTGTCTACATGACTCTAGGAGAGCTGTTGGAGAAGAGGAAACTGCAGAAAACCTGAATAATTGGCCAATAATGGTTTTTTGAATTATTTATGGCAAAAGCTCTTTTATTCAATGTGGCTGGGACCAGTGGTTGATAGGATAACAGCAATAAAAAGTTAATACAGAGAATCGTAAATGATGGCATTTAAGTACTTAAAATATTTTATTTTACGCTAAAACATCACTTGCTAGTATTTTAATGTAAAGCCTTTTTTGAGTATGGGTCTGCTGCTTGGATGTCCAAGTCATCTTTTTTCGTGCATAAATCACACCAGTAATACCACATTCATTGAACATTTCCAAAGCACTAAGCTTGATTTTCATAGAAGCAAACTTTTTTTGTACCACACTCTTGTTTTCCCAACTCGTGCCATATTTAATTTAAAATGTAAATGTACTGGTAAGTATATCTGACATAGATTTGGGATATGCATTTGACCTTTGAAATTAAATGATGTCACTGGCAGGCACTGAAAAGTGTGGGTGAACAGCACCCAGACCACTGGTGGAGGACCCAGAATCAGGGTCAAGGTGTTTGGAAGGGGCAGTAGAAGACCTTTGCTAGTCACACCAGTTACCTGCATGGAGGGGGAATGAGGAAGAGTTCATTGTATTAAATTATATGTGTTTGTTAGGGTGAGACACACGATGACAGGAATACCACTGCTGTGATGCTTTAGGCCCCTCAGAGTACCCCCTGGTCAATTTGGGGAAAACCACTGGGCATGCTCACCTCATCTGCTCTTCTTCCGCTGAGAAGCAAGATGGCCCATAAGAAGCACAAGTTTTCCTCTGCTCCTCCCTTCTTGGGGGAAGCCCCACCCTGGTCCACCCTACTGGGTCCTGGATGGGACAGTCTGCCCATTTCTAGTTTCAGTGAGCAAGTCATTTTGGACCTAAACCTATGTCTGCCAACATGGCTGCTGTCAGTAATAAAGGTGACATTTTGGCTTTCATCTTTGCTCTTTGTGTTATTTTCAAGTTGCTCAGAACCTGGGTGGGGAAGAAGGAGGGGTGTTATATGAAGGGATCCCCTTGGAGACTCCAACATCATGGGTCAGTGTGGCCCTGTGAGCATCTTTGAATTATTGACCCTCAATGAACCATTTGCTAGTTCTCATGGTGTGTGATTTATCTCAAAATTTTTAAAAGAAGCCATTGAAGAGAGAGAGAGCTTAATTGAGGATGAAGGGTGGCTGCATTTGGTATGATCAGATTTACATTTTGAAATGACCATTTTGGCTTCAGTGTAGAGAATGGGTTAGGGATTGGGGGTTCAGAGTCTTAAGAGAAGGTGCAGAGACACCAGTGAAGAGCCTCCTGCAGCAGTCCAGAGAAGACGGAGTTAAAATCTACCAGACATATGAATGAGCTGGAATTTTAGGGATGAGGGAGAGAGAAGTCAAGGATGTCTCCTACTTGTCAAGATTATCTGAGGCCTTGGCAGACTCCAAGCATAGAAATTTGGGCTTTTACCAGGAACATGTCTTAATAAATGATACTTATAATCTTAAAAATCAACTTATAATGGTAAAATGTTATCTAAGTTTTAATTGTTATAACTAATCATGATATACTTGTCATTATGATGTTGATAATAGGAATATAATCTTTGAAAATTAACATAATACTGTAAATTTGCAAGGAGCTGTTTGAAACACTTGTATTACGATCCCCTTTTCCCAAGATACTGTTTGAAATCGACTTGGATTCATGGTGGCTCATATTGTACTTCTTTGATGATTCCTTTACCTTTAGTCCCAAGAAGATTCCTCTATCACATCCAGGCCAATGGCTTTACAAAGAGAAGAAACCAAGTGAAATGGATTTGCTCCATGAAGATGGTCCTCTTCCTTGTGAAAATGTACGCAAAGGAGTTAGTGACTTCTGCACCTGGGCTACTAATATTGTAAGTTAGTAGTGGTACTTGCAACTTACTTTTTAAAGTCAAGCTCAAAGTTACTTATATTAAAAAATAGTTCGATATAACCTAAGTCAAATAATCAAAGTCATAAAGGAATCTTTATGACTCTCCCACCATTTATAATAGAAAAGTTTCTTGTAGATGAAATTTCCGGAAAGTTTGCAGCCAATTTGAATGTTTACTGTTTATATCTCACATCATTGCTGTTGTTTCATATTTGAATGCGTATCTTCCCCGCTACCCACCAGCTTAATTGAGATACAATCGACATATAACATTGTGTATGTTTGAGGTTTAGTGTGATAATTTGATACAAGTATATATTGCAAAATGATTACCACAATAGGGTTAGTTAATACATCCATCACCTCATATATTACTTTTTTTTTTGTGGTGAGAACATTTAAGATCTACTTTCTTAGCAACTTTCAAGTATACAATGAAATATTGTTAACTATAGTCACCATGCTGTACCTTACATCCTTAGAACTTATAACTGGATTTTGTACCCTTTGGCCAACATCCTCCCATTCCCCCAATATATTGTTTCATATTTTTATGTTCCATTTCAATATAAGGATATTCTTTTCTTTCTTTCCTTCACTCCTACAACTCATTTTTCTCAGCTATTATTTTTGGGCAGCTATGCTTGACTACATTTACTAAAAGTTTTTCCTGACATGAAAAGAGTTTTGACTCAGTTATCAAGGTCTTTCCTTGTCCTCCTTCCAAGAACATATTTAGTTATATATTCCTGTTCCCAAGTCCCTATAGATGTCTAGATTCCCAATGCTTTTCCTGGATTCGAGACCTAGAATTTGCAAGATCCCTCCCCCACTTTTTAATGAATTCATCAGTTTTAGTCAATGTGTTATTTAGGATTATTTCATTGGCAAGTGACTGAAATAGTCAAACTGAGTTGAGGGATAAAAGGGAACCATCCAGAAGTATTAGGAGCTGCAGGCACAGCTGGATCTAGGTGCTAAAATGTTTTTAGGCACTCTCCCTATATGTTGCATGCTCTCCCCTGTCTGACTCCATTTTCCTCAAATAATGACAAAAGCAGCCACTAAAAGTTCCAAGCTTACATTCTATCAGATAGCAATGTAAGTGGGGTAAAGAAGCAACTCTTTCGAAGAGGAAAAAGTCCCGGGCTCACTCTTACTGAACTAACCAGGGTCACATGTCTTGTGACTGAATTATCCACTATGAGTGGGGAAACGGACTGTGGTCATTGGCTAGTTCAGGTCACATGTCTAATCCTGAAGTGAAGAGGTGGACATGTCCTGCCCTGCTGCAACAGACGGACTGAGGTGGGAGAGGGAGGCTTCCTAGAGGGTAGATTAGAGTAAAGATGCTGGCCAAGGCAGATGATGCCCACCCTGCCTGGTGCCTGAACCACTGCCTGTCCATAATCTGGCTGGGTTGGATTACCTGAATCCCTGCTGTGGGCAGAACGAACACTGACATTTCTCAACGTGTTTGGAAAATACTCCAAGGGATGTCACTGCTGTAAAGTGTTGGAGAAGTTTACTTTTGGTCAAACAGACTGAGTTTTTCCCAGTGCCGTTAACTCCCTCAGGGACCCACTGCTTCTTGTGGGTCCTAAATTGTCTCTTAAGGCACTGACAGAGCCTGTCAGACTCCAGATACAGTTGATCTTTGAATAACATGGGTCTGGACTGTGCTGGTACACTTATCTACGGATTTTATGTTAGGGACTTGAGAATCTGCGGGGTGGAGTATCCGTGGGAGGTCCTGGACTCCCCGCCCCCACCCCCCATGAATACCAAGGCTAGTTAAGTTTTGGGGGAGTCAGGAGTTATACAAGATTTTCAACTGTATGAGAGGTTGGCACCCCTAACTGTGCCAACAGGGCACCCCTGTTGTTCAAGGATCAGCTGTACTTCTTGTCTCCAATCAGTGCTGACTGAGCATTTTCTGTTTCTCTTCCAAACTACCTCTTTCCCAGCCATGGTCAAACGCTTCCCTTAGATTGAAGAAGAAAGCAAGGAGCATTTCACCATTTGTCCTTGACTCACACAATGTGATATTCTTCCAGGGAAGCTCAAACATTGATGAAAAGTTCATCCTGAAACAGTTTGCCGTTGACTATCAGAACAAACCAAGCTGTAATGTGCTGAACGTGATGAGACTCAACCAGGTTCCTTTGGAACTAAAGAAGAGTGTGAGGTTCAGTAAACTTCAAGACCCAGAATTTTTCCAGAAACTTAACCATGAGCAGAAACTCCAGAAGCTGCAGGTAATTACAAAAGGGGAGAAGTCTGAAAAATCAAAGAAAATTAAGTTGTATTAAAATCTTGAATGTTCTTAAATTCTGACACCTGTCTTTTTCAGTAGAATTCTTAATTTTTTTTGCTGTTTAATAAATATGTATTAAATTAATGAATATTTAATACATACAACCAAGTTATACAAACAATGCATGTCATTCAGCATTATTGTCAACATCTGAACAGTCATTATTTTATGTGTTTTATATGTTGAAATTCTAACAGTGGAAATACATGTGAATGTTTATCATTGCAAGAGTGAAATGCTGAAATTAATGATTGTGAACTATTTATTTTATGTCTGAAGAATTCTTGAATTTTTAGGACGGTCTTACTGACCATGAACCATCATTCTTGATCACATGCTTGCCTGATCATTAATTACTCACTCCGTTTTCCAGTACCAATTTCCTGTGAAAACAGAAGAACAAAGTAACAGAGAGGAGAAATAATATGTTATGTTCCAAGGGGAAGTTTTATGGGCCCCTAGGTATTTTACCAGTTTTAACACATGTGTTACTGCAAATATATACACAAATCAAATGTGCCAGTCTAACAGACTGAAGTGCCTAAGTGAGAGTTGGTAAGGGTGGAGAGGAGAGAGAGTTCCTTTCTCTGAAAGTGAAAAACAATATATTATCCCTAATTACTCTCTGCTTTTTACACATAATCTTTGATACTGTATTTCCACTATTTTGGACATAGTAACTTTGTCTTTTACAATGGAACACAATCAACTGACCTGTTTTTACATACATAATGTTTTCTATCCTTGACTCTTGCATAAAGTTTATGAAATTTATACGTTCCATCTCCTCTCATCTTTCTTAAGGGTAAAATGTAAACTGATGCTGGACAGGCAAATTATGTCCTTCGCACTGCTTGAAACACTGCTTGTCCTGAATCTGGGCTGAATGACATTGCTCAATTTCCTGTACTTACAAATAATTGCGCAAACACTGCTTTATAAACCACTGTCGTTATTGCCAAAATTGAACTTTTTACTGGCAGACGGAGAGTCGCTATGCAAAATTTCAAAATATATTTCCACATGATCCTTCTGCCTGAAGGACTTTCTTTAACAATTCTAGTTTAGTTCTGCTGATGAATTTTTTCAGTTTTTGTATATCTGAAAATGTCCTTATTCTGCTTTCATTTTAAAAGAAATATTTGTGGGTATAGAATTCTAGGTTCACAGTGTTTGGTTTGTTTGTTTTCAGAACTTGAATGACATTGCTTCATTGTTTTCTTGGTTGTTGATTCTGATGAGAAATCTGTCATTTTTATCTTTGTTTTTCTAAATACGTTTATTTCCTTTGCTGCTTTTAACATTTTCTCTTTGTCACTGGTTTTGAGTAGTGCGATTATTACCTTCGTGTATATTTTTTCATGTTTCTTGTGCTTGGAGATTGCTGAGCCTCTTCGATCCATAGGTTTATGGTTTTCATCAAATTTGGAAAAATTTTGACCATTATTTCTCAAAAAAATTTTTTGTTTCTTAGCACCTCTTCCCTGACTCTAATTACATGTAATTAAGCTGCGTGAAGTTGTCTCACAGCTTACTGCTACACTATTCAGTTTTTTATTCTGTTTTCTCTCTGTTTCTATTGCTATGTCTTAAAATTCTCCAATCTTTTTTTTTTTTCCTGGAATGTCTAATCTAATGTTAATTTCATTCAGTGTATTTTTCATCTCATACATTATAATTTTAATCTCCAGAAGTTTGACTGGTGTTTTTTATGTAATTAAGCTGCGTGAAGTTGTCTCACAGCTTACTGCTACACTATTCAGTTTTTTATTCTGTTTTCTCTCTGTTTCTATTGCTATGTCTTAAAATTCTCCAATCTTTTTTTTTTTTCCTGGAATGTCTAATCTAATGTTAATTTCATTCAGTGTATTTTTCATCTCATACATTATAATTTTAATCTCCAGAAGTTTGACTTGGGTCTTTTTTTTATATCTTCCATGTCTCAGCTTAATCTTTTGAACATATGAAATACAGTTATAATAACTTTTTTGATGTTCTTGTCTGCTAATTCTAACTGATCAGTTCTGTGCGAGTGTCCATTAATTGATTTTTCTCCTCATTGTGGATCATCTTTTCACGCCTTTCTGCATGTCTTGTGTTTTTTGAGTAGATGCCAGGCATGGCAAATTTTACTTTATTGGATGCTAGGTATTTTTTTGTATTCCTATAAATTTGAGTTTTGTCCTGGGATGTAGTTAAAGTTATTTGGAAAAGTTTGGTCCTATTGGCTCTTCCTTTTAAGATCTGTTGGGAAGGACCAAACTATATTCAGTCTAGGGGTAATTTTTTACTGCCAAGGCAAGACCCTTCTGTGTATTCTACCCCGTGTCCTGTGAATTTTTAGGTTTTCCAGGAGAGAACGGGCACGGTCCCTGCCCCTGTGTGCATGCCAGGCACTGCTCCCTCTAATGCTTTCTGTTGGTTCTTTCCCAGACTTCAGGTCGTTTCCTCCCACACATACGTAGAGGAAGACTGTGCAAACCTCTGGAGTGCTCTCTCTGTGCAGCTCTGTCCTTTTTGTTTCTTTGTGCTGCAAACTTTAGCTGCATTGGTCTCTCCGGACTCTCAGTTCTGTGTCTTCAACTCAGAGAGTCCACTGGGCCTTTTTGGGGTTCCTCCCTGCATTGTGAAATGGAAACTCTCTCAAGACAATGAGCTGGAGCAATTGTGGGTCTTATCTGTTTGTTTCTTTTCTCTCAGGGATCACTGCTCTTTGTTATTTGATGTCCAGTATCTTACAAACCATTGTTTCATATATATGTGTGTGTGTGCGTGTGTGTGTGTGTGTGTGCGTGTGTGTGTGTGTGTGCGTGTGTGTATGTGTGTGTATACACACACTGTTTTTCGGTTGTTGCAGGCTGGAGGGTAAATCTAGTCCCTCTTTCAGAAGTAGAAGTCCCATCTTTATTTTTTTACCCCACATACTTTCAGGCCTTCTACAGTCTGCTCTTCAGTGTCCTTTAAAACTCTGAGCTTTCCCACTACCTTAACTTTTGCTCACAATATTCTCTCTGTCTGAAGTGCCCCTCTTCCCACATCTACATCCTTTAGACACAGGTCACATGCCAATCTTTCTATGGGTTTTCTCTAGGCCTTTTAGTTGATATTAATTTACTCTTACTTCTAATCTCTCACAGCCATCTGTATGTCTATTGTAATATAGCTCTCTTTATCCCTGTATATTCATTCATTCGTTTATAAATTTATTCAACGAACATTTCTGAGCATCTATTACTATGTGCCAAAAAGTGCTGAGAGCAAGTGAAAGACTGTCACCTGCACTCAAGGAAAATCTAGTAGAATCAACAGCTAAATGATTAACTATAATGAAATTATGTCATGGTTCATACATAGGACATAGGAAGAAGTAATCAGTTTCACCAAGCATCGGGTGAGGATAGGTACATGGTTAAGGCATCATAGAAGAAATTGTGTTTGTACTGTCTTGAAAGAACACCAGTCACCCAACGACATACCACATTCTGGAACTGAAGTTCTTCAGCAGAGCAGTGCTGCCGTTGCCACTCCTCTCTCTTCCTTTCTTTTTCTTCTCTCTGCTTCCCTCTTTCCTTTAATTCAGTGGTTCTCAACTAAGGGCGATTTTGCCCTTTCTTCCCTTACCATCCACCCAGAGACTTTTGACAATGTCTGAAGATGACATTATTTTTTTAACATATCACAACTAAGCACTTATTATACTGTTTAAGAAGGGAAGTAATTGCAGTAGTATTTCAGAAACTATATCTTTTTACAAAATGTAATATATACTCATAGACTCTAAACAGGATTTAAAATATATAATCTCCAAAAGAAAATATTCAACTCAAGATAAGATAACTTTTAATGTAAGTGAAATATAACAAGATTTTTAAATTCATCATCATATTTTTCACAACACAATGTACAGAAATTTGCAAACTTCCTGTACAGAGCAGTATAATCTTTATTCTTGAGCAAGGTTTTCAATAACACATAGGTAATCTTCCACAAATTCCAGCTGTTCATGTTTCATGCTTATTTCTGTTTGGTTCATCTCATTTTTCAATTCTTCTGGTCTGAGACATTTTCTCATTTTAGCAAGATCTTTCTGCTTTTTCCTATACAGGCTAATTAACCTTCTTTTAATATCCAGTCTATAGCTTCTGTATTGTTCGGCATCACTCATGTCAGTTACCAGTAGTCAAAGAATTTTATAAACCCATCTAGCATGTTGCTTATTTATTTAGAACTTTTGTTGTGCCTCTATGGTCATATCTTCACCGAATCCTTAACTTTTCCCAGGAAAAACAGGGCAAATCTTGACAAAGCTTCACCAGGACAAAGTCTTTTAATTTCACATAGCATTTGGATGTATCTTCCTCTGTAATATCAAGAACAGGAGGAGACATAATGTTGTATCTGCTTCTTGAAAGAGTTGAACACCATGGTCTTGACCTTGAAATGGAGTCAATATCAACATCTGACTTGCACATAGTCAGGTTTTGTCTGGGTATGAAGAATAATTATAGACTGTCCTGTAACCTACAGTCACAAAGAGCATAGTTCCATCCTTATTATACTTCTCAAATAGTGGAAAGTTAGTGCCATCTTTCTTTCATCATCCACGTCATTAAAGTTAGCAGTTTCAATAAACCACATAAAAACGTTTTGAAGCTTTTCATGATATTCTCAAAAGTCCTTACATGTCATATCACCCTTGCATATCTGAAAGGTAAAGTTTTCTCCTCCTGTTGGGCTTGGAACAGAGTATGTATGTATGGAATAAAGTTCCAAATGGCTTGAAATCAACTTTTTCCAGCAAATAAATCATTTGTTTGTGCAAAACCCAGGTGGAATGATTTGTCTAATTTTCTCTCACATCATCTGCCTCTACATGAAGTTCTCATAAACTTTCGATGCATATTCAACAGGGAACATTGCTGACAGGCTACCAGCAATACAGTATAACAGAATCCTCAGACCCTTATAACCAAAAGTCATTTCATCATTCCAAAAGAATTGATGGGTATATTCAGGAAAGAAGTTTAATGTCATTCTCAAGATCTTCAAGAAAACAAACTAATTTTAGTTCAATTGCTGTTTTGGTATTAAATTTGAACTTTGCCAGTTTCTTCTCCATTGCACTCTTGTATTCAACCAAAAATTTCTTCATTGCACCAAATCCCACCATTTCCAAGCTGCAAGCACTCATGGCTAAGGACAGACGATGGAGATGACATGTTTGGTTGCTACAACTTGGGGTGTGCTACTGGTATCTAGTCAGTAGAGGCCAGAAATGCTGCTAAACATCCTGCAGTGCATAGGACAGTCCCCACTACTCACTGCAACAAAGAATTATCCCACTCAAAATGTCAGTGGCAAAGTTAAGGAACATGACTAATTCACCAAATATTTATTGAGCATCTATCATATCCTAGATATTATTCTTGATGCCTAGGGGAGGTAGCAGGGGACAATCTCACAAGTTTACATTTTAGAGAGTGAGAGGAGAGACAATCAGAAAAATATATAACATATTAAATGGTGATAAGCGCCATTAAGAAAAATGAGACAGACACAGAAGACAAGAACTGTTGTGAGGGGGTTACAATTTTTAAGTTGGGTGTTTGGGAAAGATACTGCTGAGAAGATGACTTGAAATAGGTAAGATGACAAAATACCTTCATGTGGTTATTTTAAAGAAGAGCATTATATCAGAGAGAAGGGTGAGCGCAAAGACTGAGGCAGAGCATGATGAATTTGCTCTAGAAATAGCAAGAGGTCAATATGGTTAGAATAGAGGGATCGCAATGCTGAATGTAGCTCTGAGAAGGGATTTCCACCCCCTCTGCTGTGTCTCATCCTCTCTGCTTTGGATAGGTGTACCTAGCTTGACCCTAGAATGCCCCCCCACATTCCATCTCATAGTTTAAATGTGAGTGAGAAGGGAGAAGGGCAGAATCTTTATGTTTTGTGTTTCTTTGTCCTGCCCAAGCATTAGACCCTTTTGATGAGACCATGTGTGAGTGTTGCATCCATAATATTGGGTTATAAACCAACAAATGGGATATAAACCAACTAAGGAATGGGAAAAAGAGAGGACTGATATCTATTTTTCCTCTTCCTCTCTTCTAATTAAAGAGGCAAGAGATTGGTGTTGAACAGCATTTTGATCAAAAGTAGTGTAGCATTTACAAGGCTGAGCACAGTGCCGGGCTCATAGTAAGGCTAATAACATCATTTGGGTTGACCGAGTATTGTTTAAGGTCATTACCCTTTGGTGAAATATGTAATTTTTACATGAATTCTAGCTGCTTTACATAATTCTCTACTTTAATCTTCTCAACAACACCACTATGGGGTCGATACTATTATCTTACAGATGAAGAATTTAAGAAACTTGCCTACAGACTCATAGCTACTCAGAGGGGGAGGCTGGGTTTGAACCCAGATCTGTCTAAATCCAAAGACCATGCTTAACCACCACACCACAGTTCATGTTACCTTTGTAAATCAAAGCATACTGAAACTTCATAAAATACTTAGGCAAAGATCAATCATAAATTTAAAATAAATGATACTGCCTTCATAAGCTAAATCTTAGATTTATTGAAATGACAAACCAAATAAAACTCATGTAATTGGGATTTATGTTATTTTCTATAGAATCCTTATAAACCAAAGCAGGTGAAGATGAAATACGGAGCATGGTATTTGAACACAAAGTTGTGGAAAAAGCGAATTGCAGATGAACCTTTGGTTGACCCCAAGGTCTTACATAAAACTCAAGATGAAAGTTTCAAAAAGGAGCTGCAGCAACAGGTATGCGCATATGCTGAGATTTGATCGCCTGAGCTAAAGACGATCACAGTGTAACTGCCACCTTATATGGAAGCCAGGGTCTCTGGAGTAACAGAGAGGCTCCTGAAAGTGTTACAGCTTGCACATTGAATTCGGAAATGAGAAAACCAAGTCATTAGATGGGGAATGTGTAATAGGCAAGACTTCAAATATACTGGCTTCATGGTAGACAGAATGTCTCCAAAGATGGGGTAACCGCTCATTGTTGTCCTACCATTCTTGGTTCAATGGATTAATTGGCTGTCCCAAGGGTGGTGTGATCTGGTAGGACCAATTCAGTACTCAGAGTGATATAACGTCATGAGTTCTCTCTGAGTAACTAAATGTGAAACTTTTTTTTTTTGAATCAACAATGGATAAATGCTAAAGAATTTCAAAATTGCAACCAGAAAACTTCTTTTGTGCAATTCAACAGAATTGCAGGATTTTTCTGAGAGGAAAGGGACAAAGTTTAAGAACTGGTTGATATCACAAAGCCAAACATACAGATGTGCTCTAATTCCATTGCAAATAAACTCTGTGCCTGTCTATCTCTTGGGTACAAGTATCTAATGGAAAGAAAATTCTCATTGTAGTCCTGAAAACTTGGAAATACTGACACAACACTTGTGCAGGATTTGTAGCCTTATAAAAGGGTAACTTCAGGAGAATATTTGTGAAAATATTCTCTTTTTCAACAGATCTAACACTTCTCCCAGTTATCAATGTGAAAACACTTGGAAAAAGTAAAATGCTGTATATAAATTTGGCTACTCATTCATTCAGAAATCATTCATCAATTGCCACCTTTAGACTGGAGAAACGGTGGTCATTTTTATCTTTACTATTACTGGGTATGAAATTTTAATTTTCAAATGTGAGGCAGCACATATATGAGCACAAGATGCTTGTATATAAGCCATATAGTAATGTAAATAATATTCAGCAGAATTTCTTGGTATATGGTTTTTGGAGCTGCCTATCTAAATTTATGTGAATGTAATACATAACATGAAACGATTCCAGCTGCACTTTTTAAAAATAACAAAACAGTCTCAATTAAATATTTAGAAACAAAAATAGTTATAAAACTTTAGTTTTAAGGTGTCTAAAAGTTCTCTTTTTTGAAATATAGTCTTAAAGACATAAATAATTTTCCCAAAATATTTCATTTGACACCAAAATCTAGTAAAGATGTTTGCCAAAATGTTTACAGTCAGCTCATGAAAAAGAAGTAATATTTAAATTTTCGAAATGTGGTTGGTAGAACAATTACAGCAAAACATTATTTATCATTCAAAATGATGGAGTAGTTTAGACACAAGAAAGATTCTTTAATGGTTTTTATAGATCACACTTTTGTAATACCTGAAGATTGATTTACTTGTGCACTTAGATGGTACCACTTGGCTATGGCACCCCAATTCACAAGACACAGGTGCAATGGTGTGCTGGTAAGGGACAGTCACTATAATGACATGGTATCTTACTCGGAACACACAACTTTTGACTGTCCTTGGTTGAAATGGAAGGTGAAATGGTCTTAAAAAACTGAATTGCGATGATATAAAATTATACATCTAGTTTTAAAATTCAAATAAATGAAAGGAAAAAAAAATGAAGGTATGTATGGGAGCTGGAACAAGTCTTTTTGGATTATCGTGCCCTTTGACGTTAAGGTCTAAAAATTGAGGATATATTGTTGAATAGGGAAAACACTCCTGTTCTTTCCTTTACCATTCTCAATTCTGGTCACTAAATATGTCAGGGATTTTTTTTCCCCCAAACCAAGAAATTCTGTTTCTCTGGACACGATCTGGGTGTCTTACAATTTAATTCTGACACCATCTACTTGGAGATAGTGTTACATCCCCCAGGTTAAGGGCTCAGTCCATGAGACTGATCCACTTCAGATGCTAATTTCAAGTCTAGATTGTCATCTGTGCTTCTGACCGACACTATATACATCTCAGGTTCCCACAGCCCCCTTCTTGGATTCGGTCATCTGCTAGAGCAGCTCACAGAACTCAGGAAAACAGTTTACTTACTAGATCACCATTTTATTATCAAAGGGAACGGTATGTAGGAAAGCACGTGCCTGAAGCTTCTATGCACCCTCTAGGTGTGCCACACTCCCAGAACCTCCACAAGTTTACCTGGAGGCTCTCTGAACCTCATCCTTTTGGGGTTTTATAGAGTCTTCAATACATAAGCATGATTAATTAAATTGTTGGCCGTTGTTAATGAATTCAACCTCCAGATCCTCTCTCCTCCCTGGAGGTTTGGGGGTGGAGCTGAAAGTGCCAACCCTTTCGTCATGTGGTTGGTTCTTCTGGCAATCAGTTCTCATCATTTGACTATGAAGGTGTTTTCCAAAAATCATCTCATTGGCATAAATTCCTGTGTGCTTGAAAGGGGTCTGTTAAGAATGCAAGACTCTTTTTTTACTTTTGTAGTTCTTATCGCTTAGGAAATCCAAGCATTTTAGGAGCGCAGTGCCAGGACGAGGAAGAAGAGCTAATATATATTTCGTATTATAAATCATAGTATCACAATTGCTAATCTTAAATTGGTTAGATTCCAATCATTCTAGGTCAATAATTGTCTAATTGGTAAAATACATGGCTTATCCTTACTATAAGGGTTAGAAAAAAGGGAAGGGAAGGAAAGAAAGTTGTACATTTTCTGAAAGTCATATATTCAGCTAGTGAACGTTATCTACACGCATATTCCCAAATGAGGAAGTGGTTTAAAATGAGGTACTTTATAAAGAGCCAAATGCTTTTAATTAGGACAAGTATGAAATCAACTCCTGACTGCATTTTTTTTTTTTTTAATGTGGACTCTGTTTTAGGAGGAGTTACTTGCAGACCTTCAAGCAACAGTTGCCTTTAAGGATTTCATTCTAAGCAGGGGCTACAGGGTGCCGAGAGTAAGTAAAGGGTCGTTTCAAAAAGGCCTGCTGAGGGTCTCACAGTTGGTAGGAAATCGGCCCTGACAAAATCAAAACACTTCTCTTACTGGCAAATATCAGGACTCAGGTTCCTGGAAGAAAGGGCATGTTTTTCCCCAGACAGAGGTTCAGAGATAGGATTTGGCATTTTGCTCTTTTTATTCTGCCCATTTAGTGTCTACTGAGTCAAAGGTGCTGTCAAAGGTGCTGCTGATAATTTGTCTGCCTTAGGTTTGGCCTTAACGGGACCAAAGTGAAAGGAATCTGTGTACATGGCATGTGCCCTGGAAACTCTGACTGCTGCTAAACCACTGAATTCTCTAGGAAGTGTTTGAGAGTCCTTTACTTACACATCTAAGGACAAAGAGCTGTGGCTTGGGTCAGGACAAAATGGATTTGAGATTCAAAATATCATCATGGTACTGTGGGGTAGGCCTTGTGTGGAAACAGACTAGGGCACTTGCTGGGGGGGGCCACCAGGGTCCCCTCAGCTGCCTCCCCCTTGCAAGACCACGTGTAACGAAGGTGGGGTGAAAGGTTGGCAGAGTGGACCATTTAGCAGGAAGTTTTGCACCCAAACCATCCCTGTCGCCACAGCAGGAAGCCAGCTAGGCATGGAGCCAAAGTCATAGCTAATAATAAGTCATGTGTTGCCCAGTATCCTCTGTGCATACATTCTTGGAGTCTTTAGGAGGCTATGCAGCCAAGATGGTCCAAGTTCCTGGAAATGGGATACTGGATATTTTTTTTACCCCAAGAAAGAAGAACTAACAATAACTTATACTTATTGGCAAATAAATATATTAATCATGCTCAGATCCAGACTGGTTTCAAAGTTAAAGTAAGCAAGGCGAGGGGAAATCTGGAGTATGAGGTAGAGATGGGCCTAAAAGACTTTATTACATAACTGGGATGAAATTTTCCCTCAAGCTTTGAATATCAATAATAAGCTTGCTAGATATATTTAATATACTTATATATATTTATATACTTATAATAACTACCTAATATAAGATTATGTAAGTATATATATGTATAATGTGTGAAATATGCTATTTTATGATTATATAATTGTACATATGATATATATTTATATAATAGATATAAATATACTTAAGCATAAATTTAGGTGATATATAGGTATATATATTCCCCCTTATTTGCTCTTGATGTTATAATGACTCATAGTTCTATCTTAACATTTTTAGTGGCAAAACACTGTTTTAAAAAAATTTTGATTTGTTCCCTGTTGGTTTAGTCTATTCACTTGAAGAACATTTAACTCAATTTCAGGCAAAAGGAAGCATGCCTGACACACAAGCCATATATTCTCTTAGCTGCATTAACTAAAGACCCTTATTTGCTCTTGATGTTATAATGACTCATAGTTCTATCTTAACATTTTTAGTGGCAAAACACTGTTTTAAAAAAATTTTGATTTGTTCCCTGTTGGTTTAGTCTATTCACTTGAAGAACATTTAACTCAATTTCAGGCAAAAGGAAGCATGCCTGACACACAAGCCATATATTCTCTTAGCTGCATTAACTAAAGAGCAATGATGCCCCTGAGAACACCTGTCACTCAAAACCCTTTATTCTTATATCCTATATTCTCTCTATTTTATTAATTAGATTTCAACTAAAAGAGAGGCAGGAATCTAGTACAGTAAATTATACATATGCACACACACAATATATACTGTCATTACTTACTTAAATTTAAACATTAATTATAAAATAAAATTAAAACTTTTAAACATTTATTTTCTTTTTATTCCCATAATGTCTGTGTATATTCACATTCATAAATGTTGCGTGAGCATATGTATTTATTTATAGTATATACATACATACTTATTATATACAGCAGATAATCTGCTGCTGGATTATCTACTCTGTGTATTACCCATAACTTCATTGCATGTGCTACACAAATGAGTGCCAGGCCTTTAATAGCAGGGATGAGCAGCACAAGGCTGTGCTGAGCTGGGCTGGGCTGGACTTGGGCACAAAACAAGTGTGCAGTAGATCTAAGTAGATCTAGGTGTTTCTGATGCTGTTAACTACCTTCCAAAGTGCAACATCTATCATGGTCTAATTATCAGCATGAGATTTTGAGTACTGTGAGGATAATTGTCAGAGTGTGAGACTGTGAATTTGGGTATGGTAGTTGTTGGGGGCAGGACTGCACAGTTTTTGTTCGCCGATCTAATGCAGTGT